CCCTATGTTCATAGCAGCACTATTTACAATTGCTAATATCTGGGTATAGCCCAAGTGTCCATCAATAGATGAGTGGATAAAAAAGCTGTGGTACATATATATAATGGAATACTATGCAGCTATAAGAAAAAAGATCGCCCTGGCCGGTTTGGCTCAGCGGTTAGAGCATTGGCCTGCGGTCCAGAGAGACCTGGGTTCGGTTCCCGCTAAGGGCACGTTACCTCAGTTGCAGTTTGTCCCGGCCCTGATTGGGTTGTGTGGGTGGCAGCCACTCAATGTGTACCTTTTACGTAGATGCTTCTCTCTCTCTCTCTCTCTCTCCCTCTCTCTCCCTCCTGCTCTATCTGAACAAAAAATAATAATAAAAAAAATGTCCTCGGGTGAGGAAAGAAAGAAAGAAAGAAAGAAAGAAAGAAAGAAAGAAAGAAAGAAAGAAAGAAAAAAAGAAAGAAAGAAAGATGTCTTATCCTTTGAGATGACATGGAGGGACCTGGAGAAAATTATGCTAAGCAAAGTAAGCCAATCAGAGAAGACAAATATCACATGATGTCACTTATTTGTAGTACATAATGAACAAAATAAGCTGATAAACAAAATAGACCCAGCGACATAGAAGTAGAGTGCAGACTGACAAACCTGAGAAGAGAGGGATGGTTGGGGGGGCAGGTGGAGGGAAGAGGTAAACCAAAGAACTTACATGCATGTATGTGTAACCAGTGGACATAGACAACAATGCTGGGGGCGAAGGGGGGGCGCAGGATCAGGAGAAGGGAGTCAATGGGGTAAAAAGAAGAAACATCTGTAACAAAAATAAATTAGTAAAAAAAAGATAAAAACCTGCGTTAGAGCAAAAGCTTTTTCCCCCCTTTGGACACAAGGGAGAGACTGAAAGAAACACAATAGTAATAGAGGCTTTTAATTCATTTTTTTCAGTCCAAGAGAGTCATTAGAAGAAAAAACAAAATTTGGGGAATCAAAATAATATAAATTAGAAAGGTAAGTCCAACTGATATTTTAAATTCTAAACCTTTAAAATAAAGCTCTGGCTCTGGTCGGTTTGCTCAAGGGTTAGAGCATTGGTGCGCAGACCAGAGAGTCCTGGGTTCGGTTCCCGATAAGAGCATGTACCTTGGTTGCTGTTTGTTCCTGGCCCTGGTTGGAGTTGTGTGGGTGGCAACCAGTTGATGTGTCTCTCTCACATCGATGTTTCTCTCTCTCTCTTCCCCCCTCTCCCTCTTGCTCTATCTGAAAATGAATGTAAAAATGTCCTCAGGTGATGATCAAGAAAAAAAAACAGCCCTGGCAGGTTTGGCTTAGTGGTTAGAGCATTGGCTCTTGGACCAAAGTGTGGGTTTGATTCCCAGTCAAGGGCATGTACCTGGGTTGCAGGTTCAATCCCTGGCCCTGGTTGGAGTTGTGTGGGAGGCAACCGATAGATATGTCTCTCTCACATTGATGTTTCTTCTCTCTCTCCCTCCCTCCCTTCCACTCTATCTAAAAATCAATGGGAAAAAATTCTTGGGTTAGGATTAACAATAAACAACAAAAAAGAGAGTAATTCTGGCTGGGTGGCTCCACTGGTTGGAGCATCATCCCATACACCAAACAGGTGCGGATTCATTCCCTGATTGGGATGCATACGGAAGAGTACTGATCGATGTTTTTCTCTTATATAGGTGTTTCTCTCTTTCTCCGTAAAAAAAAAAAAAAAATTTCCTTGGGTAAGGATTAAAAAAGTTTTTAAAAGAATAAACTTACTGCCCCGGCTGGTTTGGCTCAGCAGTTGGAGTGTCAGCCTGTGGACCAGAGAGTCCCGGGTTCAGTTCCCACTAGGGGCACATACCAAAAAAAAAAAAGAATAAACTTAATTAAAAATGTTCATGTGATTTATTATATTGTACATTATCACATATTTCAAATAGCACAGAACTTACTTTTGAAGTGCTCCTGGATGATATACAAAAATGGTCATTTTTTACTTCTTTATCTTCAAGACAGATTTCAATAGATAGCCATCCATACACTAAATTTTAGCCATACACTAAATTTTAATAGATTCTAAAAAAGTAAAATTTGTAAAACTGATAATCTCTGATTATAATAAGTTAGGAATTAACAACAGAAATGGAAACCCCCAAAAAACTTTCTGGAAATTAAAGGAACTATTATTATGTAATGCTTAGATCAAAGAGGAAATAGAAACCAAAAGTGGAGAATATATAGAAAATAACTAGTAAAAGCACTTTTTATCAAAAGTTAATCTTTACAGTTTATCAACTACAAATTAGAGTAATAATAGGGCCTAGCCTCATGGAGTTGATACGAGAAAGCTTAGAAAAATTAAAAAATGGAAAGAAAAGTTTAAAAGAATTAAGGTGCTTAGAGTGCCTGCTAAACAGGAAGTATCATATAAATATTAACCATTATTATCATTGTTATTAAACTCAGGAATTTTACTTTTAGGAATATAGCTTATAGATATTTTGCACGTTAGTTGAAAGACATACATCCAAGGGAATTCACTGCAACACCATTTCAATAGCAAGAGACTAAGTACAATCTATATGTCATCAATAGTAGAATGATGAAATAAATGATGAAATCCAAATAATTTAATACTTTGTAGTCCTGAAGATAAAAATTTAAAAGTGTATGTACTGGTGGAACAATTTTTCAGGAAATGTTAAGAAAGAAAGGTGGGTATTATATGGGTATATCATATGTTTCCTTTTTTTAAAGTGGAAGAAAACACACACACACACACACATGCTTGTATATACACAGAAACTTTCTGGAAGGTATCAAGGAAAACTGAATTTTTCTAGGGAGCAGGATTCGGGTTCCAAGGAGAGATTTAGTTTTGTTATGTATCTTCCAGATTCTTTGGTTTTTAAATTTTATTTATTGATTTATTTTTTTATTAATCCTCACCTGAGGATATTTTTCCATTGGTTTTTAGATAGACAGGAAGGGAGGGAGGGGGGACCGGAGGAGAGAGGGAGGGGGAGGGGGACAGACGGGGGAGGGGGAGAAGCGGGGAGGGGGAGGGGGAGAGACGGGGAGGGAGGAGAGAGAAGCATCAATGTGAGAGAGAGACATGGATTGGTTGCCTCTGGACGAGGGCTGGGGATCACACCTGCAACCCAGGTGTGTGCCCTTGACAATGACCCTTCAGTGCTAGGGCTGATGCTCTAACCACTGAGATAAACCAGCGAGGGCTCCCCCTCTATTTTTTTTTACTGAAAGCTCTCTGATATCTCTAGGTAATCTTTATTTTACAAATTTTAATGAAAATTAAAAAATAAAATCACTCCTGCTTCGGCCATGCCTACAAACAGTAATAGCGACTTCTCTAACAAGTGTCTGTGTGCCTTGCTCCTTACCTGCATTATCTCATGTCATCATCTAAACCATTCATTGGGGTTAGTAAAACACTGTCTTCTCCATTCAGAAGCAGAGGTCACCCACAGGTAGTAAGGAGTGAATCCAGAATTTATTCTCAAGTCGATCTGAGTCCCCACTATGCATCATAGTGCCCCTTCCAAATACAATGACATTCTTTTCTTTTTTTAATCCTCACCTGAGGATTTTCTTCCATTTATCTTCAGATAGAACAGAAGGGAGGGAGAGGGGAAGAGAGACATCGACTGGTTGCCTCCTGCATGACCAGATCAGGGCTGGGGACAAATTGCAACCTGGGTGTAGGCCGACCCTCAAACCACTGAGTCAAACTGGTCAGAGCAAATCCAATGACTCATTTTCCATGTTCTCATCAGCCTAGGTCCATGGGCATCATGGGCATCCATTATATTTTCTGGTTATAATCACAGTACTGATATAATTTTTAATGCTTTTTATATCTTAAACATTTTGTAAAGACCAACAAATATTTTTAAATGCTTGTGCAGCCTGGCTGATGTGGCTCAGTGGTTGAGCATCGACCTATACACAAGAGGTTGCCAGTTTGATTCTTGGTCAAGGCACATGCCCAGGTTGTGGGTCAAATCCCCGGTAAGGGGCATGTAGGAGGCAGCCAATTGATGTTCTCTGTCTGATTTTTGTCTCCCTCTCTCCCTCTCCCTTCCTCTCTCTTTAAAAATAAATAAACCACTGAGTCAATAAATCACTAAAATCAATAAAAATCAATAAACCACTAAAGAAAAGAAAATTTAAATGCTTGTACAATATACAGTCTAGTGAATGTTCTATAATTTATTACTTTATTATGGCAATATATTTGGAATGTTTTGACATCTTTACAACTAAAAGTAATGCTGCAAAGATTATCTTTCTTATAAGACCTTTCCCTTTGGTAAATACTCAATTTTAGTACCAATAATACTTTTCTTACCAATTTGTATCTACTTTTTACAGATATCAATTTTGTGTCTATTACATTTTTCATATATTTAAGCATTAGAGTAACTTAGTACTGGAAAAGATCTTAGAACTTATATACTACTCAATTTCCTACCTAGTAGGAAATCCCCCAAAATAGAAATTTAATTAAGAAATCTAGCCCCAGCCAGTTTTGCTCAGTGGTTAGAGCGTAGGCCTGCTGTCCAAAAAGACCCGGGTTTGGTTCCCGCCAGGGCGTGTACCTCAGCTGCAGTTGGTCCCCGGCCCTGGTTGGGTCGTGTGGGTGGCAACCACTCGAGGTGTCCCTTTCACATCGAAGTTTCTCTCTCTCTCTCCCCCTCCTACTCTATCGGAAAAAAAAGTGGAAAAATGTCCCCAGGTGAGGATTAAAAAAAAAAGAAATCCAAGAGAAGTTTTGCTCTTCCTCAACTACATGTAAATCACTCATCTTATTTCTGAAATCTAATAGCCCATCATACCCCTTTTTTCCATTGTCCAAAGTGTCTTATATATCCAATGTTGCCTGACTGTCTTTAGAATTTTCATGGATTTTTCATGTCTATGTGAATTCCCCACGCGCATGTATTAAACTTTAATGTTCTCCTATTAAAAAAATACATATATATAAGAAAATGTCTTACCTGTTACAACAGTTAAGATTGAGTCATCATTGCTTGCAGCTTTAAGTGCAAGTATGATTTCTTGATACATCTGTATGAAAGGAGGAAGATGAGAAAAAGGACCCTGAAAATCACAACCATCACCCAGTAGATTCCCTAAATGCTAGTCTGCAAGCCTACACTCTGCAAAATGCCAAACGTTTATGTTGGTTGTATTTAAATAATCAAAAGGCCAGCCCAATACACTTGAAAGGATTTTCATTCCTTTTACAATTACTTATATTATGTACCAAGTACTAAGTAGATGCTGGGGGATATATCCACTTTTTTCCAAAAGTGAACAAATAAGACAAGCTTTTGGAATAGAAAGGTTTGCTCTAAAATGGGTAGAAAGTACAAAGTAGCAGGAAGCTCAGAGAAGGCGCTGATATTTAGCTAGGGTGGATATGATGGGAGGCGGTCAGAGAAAGATTTCCTCAAAGCAGTTTTTCAACTGCAACATCAAGAAAGAGCACGAGTGTCCCAGGTAGTCAGTCTGGGAAATGTTAATGATGTTAAAAGGCTGGGATTGCCAAGATATTGTAAAGACAGTGAAAGACAATAGGCCCAATATTTTAAATAAAAAGCATCTGAAAATCTTGGATGCGTAGTTGTTATAGCTTTTAACGCATTTAAAACAGGCATAATTACTATCTTAGGTGAGACTTGAATGTGGGAAAGAATGATGAAGAGGACTGATACCTACAGATACATAGACACTGAGAAAAAAATGTATGAACTTTTCAAAATATATGAATAAAGGTAAAATCATTTCCACTGAGGGAGGGAATGAGGAAGTCATTCCATTATTATTATAGTTATGATGACACAACAGGACAGGGTAACTGGCAAGAGCCAAGATTAGGAGATGGATACAACAGGGTTTCAAGTTAGGTTTTCCTGCATATTTGTTATGTGAATTTGAACAATTAGGTTACCACTTAACTCAATTATTTTATTGTTAAATAATAAGAGTAGGCTTCTTGTGGGGATTAAACAAACCTATTTGTGGAAAGGGCTGACACATATTAAGCTCTGTAAAGAGTAGCCAGTATTTATTATTATTACCATGATAATAAAGAAATGAGTCAGGATAAAAGGAAAAACTGGTTGAGAACCAAATGTTTTATTAATTGAATGGCACATATCCAACTTTATGAAATTCTTAAAAACTAACTTAGTATGCTCTTTCTACTACGATGTAGATGATAAACCCAATGAAAAGGGTTACAGCCCTCTCATAAAGTTTCCAATTAACTCCCTATAATTTTTTTTCAAGGGAAAAGAACTAATGTGCTTATTTTTATTATCATTGTAATTCAGTGACAAATTCAAAGACTAAAGTTGTTTTTATGAAGTAGCACATTTCAAGCAGAGATAGGTTATAATCGATTTAAGACGGAGTCCTTCTCTCCTTTCTCCCTCTAATTCTACAAAACAAAGCTCCAGGCAGGTAGAGCAGTACTCACTCTCAAGCCTAAGTGACACGAGGAAACTTCTGGGGATGGTCTACACCAACCTTAGGGAACCTCTACGTACATTCTCTCATATTAATGTATGTTTCATTTATATTAATTTACCTGTGCTTCCAACATTGGGAAAATTGTAGTTCCATCTGGGCATGTAGAACCTACATGAAACTCACAAATTCTAAATAATGAAGGCCTAGCTCTGTTGTATGAAGAAGTAGCCCACAATTACTAATCTTCCTGCACAAATCAAATGAGATCTTACAAAAACAGGAATGATGCTGAAACATAATAGTTTTTGATGATAATAGATGGGGGGCGGGGAGAGAAATCTAGAGAAGGTAATGTCACCTGAGTGTTGATTGCATTCTTTTTGGTGGGCCGGTTCAATGTGATCTTTGTGATGCCATCTTCAGAGGTCACCACCAGGTTTTCATATTCCTGTTGTTTCCTGTCTGTTCCAGGCTGCACTTGGTTAGAAGACTCAGATGAAGAACTCAAACTGGACACCAAATCTACATAGTTCTGCCTGGCCGTTTCCTAAAGAGAAGATGACAAATAACTTAAGCCCATGGTCAACAAATAAGCATCTTGAGAAACATACTATGCTAATAAGTAGTACCTTGCAATGGAGAAAGAACAGAAGTTCTGATTCAAGAGTTACATTAAGATCTTGAAGTCTTATTCTATAAAGAATTGATAATGAGAAACACCCAAATTCCTTTAGGAGTACAGCAAGTAAAATAAAAGTAAAGTAACAAATTTACCTTGGGCAGATTGCCAAGAGCATCCCATGCATCCCATTTGGCCTTATTAATAAAGTCAAATACACCTGGTTTGGGCATATTACAAGGTCCTTCAGTGGCCTGTGAAAAGGAGAGGAGCAATTTTTAGCCAAATGTCCATGTAAATTGGAGCCTTAAAATTTAAGATTCATAAAATGCACAACTAGAATGAATGTGCCTTCCGTCCCAAATACTTTCATAGGTACATAAATTGATTTGAACTTTCCTTCTCTTTGATGCTGTTGCTAAAAATGCACAAACAATAAATAGAAAAAAGCCTGGAGGGATAAAATGTGCCATTGGCTATGAATCCCTAAAATAAGTTACAACAGCCTAAATATGAAAAAACTGCAAGATAAAGGTTGTGAGAAAGCCCTTTTCGAAAATTCTAATGGTTCATTAGTTTTAAATTGACGATGACATTTTTCACATACAATTAAAATATTCAAGCAAACAATCTTCAAACGTATTTAGCCCAACATACATTTAGACACCCACAGTATATTCTGAAAGTCCATTCAAAGATACAAAAAACTATGACTAATTCAGTAGAGGATTTCTGATAACTGAGCAACAGAGTTGTAGCTGGGGCTATCAGAGCAACTGACCCTTAGGAAACTGAACCAAAGGACATGCAAGTAGAAAGCAAAAAGCAACTAGACTTTACTTGTTTGAAGGTAGGTGGAGTGAGTGTTTTAAGATGAATAAAATATCCTAGTCACCTACTTTTCAGAAATGGCAATTTAAAACTCCAATTAATAACCACATTTAAAATGTTAAATTATGTAGCATAATTAGGTAAAAGAGGAAAGAAGACCTTTGAGAAACAAAGGCAGTAAATGAAACTAAGACTGTCCAAAGACAGACAAAAGTAACTGCAAGTTAGCCAACTCAGAAATCAGAGACAACATAGTCCAAGACTTCTAGTTCTAATGCCAAATGCAAGGTCGGGGGGCTCCTGGTACCACCCCCAGGTTCAGTAATCTGCTACAATGACCCACAGAACTCACTCAAAGCTGTTATTATCACGATTTCAGTGTAATGCCAGGAAAGACAGATTAACATCAGCAAGGGAGGAGAAGCATAAGGTGAAGTCTGGGGAAGAACACCCCTTCGCCCTCAATGTGGAGTCAGGACAGTGTACCTTTCCCGGAATTGATGTATATCACCCACCAGGGAAGCTCACTCAAGCCTCAGTGTTCAGAGTTTTCATTGGGAGCTCCATCACCATTGAATATGTAACTGAAGCCCCACTCTAAATCACATTGTTACTATCGTGTGCCAGTCCCACTCTAAATTACAGTTAGATTCTGCAGGCAGACACTCCTATGACACATGACATTTCAAGGGTTTAGATATTAGGTAATCTAAGGTAATCCTGTCTAGAAGCAAAGGGCAAAGGCTAGACATCTTTTTGGGCAAATTAAAATTCTTTGCTATACACACCCATATGAAAGTAGCAGAGGCTCATACTGATCACAGGAAGAGAGAAACAGATAACACACAGGAGTCCAGAGGGGCTGACTTCCCAGAGTAGTCTTTAGACATTGCAACTTAAAAACTTACATTTAAAATTATTTTATTTTATTTATTTTTATATCCTCACCCGAGGACATTTTTTCCATTTTTTGTTCAGATAGAGCAGGAGGGAGAGAGAGGAAGAGAGAGCGAGAGAGAAACATCGACGTGAAAGGAACACATCGAGTGGCTGCCACCTGCACGACCCAACCAGGGCCGGGGACAAACTGCAACCGAGGTACATGCCCTTAGCGGGGAGTGAACCCTGGTCTCTCTGGACCGCAGGACAACGCTCTAACCGCTGAGCCAAACTGGCCAGTGCACATTTAAAATTTTTATTGTAAAAATTTTCAAACATATACAAAAATAAAATATTATAATGAATTCCCAACACTCATCAATCAACAACTATCATTTTTGCCATAGTTGCTTCCTTCATCCTTTTCTTTCTTTTGTTTTATTTTAGTGAATCTCAAACACCATACTATTTCACCCTTACATTTTCAGTATGCATTTCTAAAAAAAAAAAAAAAAAAATCAACGTTTTCTTATATAACCATAATACTATTAACAACAGTTTCCAGGTATCACCTACTACCCAGTCTATATTCAAATTTCCCCAATTTTCTCAAAATAACTTTTTCAGTTGATTTATTCTAATCAGCAACCAAATAAGATGTACACATTTGGTTACATCCTTCAAGTCTTTTTTCCTCTAGAGTGATGCTGAGGGGTTACTTTTTGCCTTAATAGGGGTTGAAAGTATAACATACAAACATACGTATACACACACCTGTGAGAAGTTCCCATAAGTGGTGCCATTTTAAAATAGAGCCAAATCAATCATTGCAGAGGAACTGATTGCACATCTTGCTCCTTGAACCTTTGGAATGTTTTTGAATTGCAAAAGCAATTATTTGTAAAACTAACAGAAAAGAGACACCCTGACCAGAAGGATTGGCACTCTTTCTGAAGACAGAAACAGTAACTCAGCTTGTCAACAGCAATAGAAATTTCTTTCCTCTATTCATGTAATCATTTCCCTTCCTTTTCTCATAAAAATCCCGTCTTCACCCTGTAATTGGGATATAATTTGGATTGTTGCCTGAATCTGTACCCTTGCAATTCTGTAATCTCAAATACTTATTCTTTCACTTTGGCATTTTATTTGTAGGGTAATACACTCTTTAAATGAAAGGCAGCAATACAAACCTTAAAAATATTAAAGATGAATTTTAATAAAACATACAGCATATCTATTTGAGGAGCTATCTGTTCAAAACGTCTCTAAATTATATCAGACCTTAGGCATTTATTTACCTGCTTATACAGTGCATAGAGTTTTAGTTTCACTTCATTTCCTGGATCCTTCTTCAACAGTTTTACTTGATTCAGTGCATTTTCAAAGTCCTCCTGACTGGCTCTCATTGCTATCCCACTCATGTGCAACTGAAGTGATGGGAAACCAATGACCTGCAGAGGACTGCAAACAGGCAGAATGATTTCTAATTATTCCCAACCCTTATATACCAAAATGCTATGTTTCTTTATAAATATTTTCCCTATACTTGTCCCAGAAATCTGGCTGTAAATAGTTAGTGGTTTCCAAAATGATCCCTATATAGGAAAATCAGCACAGAAGCTAAATGTAGTAATTTAAAAATGACAGTAAAGGAAGCTACTATCCAGCACTTTATTTTTAGCAATTCAAGTTAAATATAGGCATACCTCAGAGATACTGCAGATTTGGTTCCAGAGCACAGCAATAAAGTGAGTTTCATAATAAAGAAAGTTGTAATCTTTTTGTTGGTGGAGGGTCTTGCCTTCAATTTGTAAAAAGAATGCAACACCTGTTTAGTGCAATAAAGCACAATAAAACAAGGTATGCCTGAGCCCAAAGGGCCATGTAAATTTTGTCACAGGCATACAAGGTAGAAGAGAGCAGGGGACTGAGACCAAGGGGGTAAAGTGCACAGAAAGAATTTCATAGTTTGTGTCCCAAGGCCCAGAAACAGCCTCTGCACTCACTGATTTAACAGTGAAGACCAGCTGTGCAGACATAGACTCACTCCTAACCCCATGATTTTTTTTTCTGTTTATTTATTTTTTATTGATTAATTTTTGTTACAGATGTTTCTCCTTTTCCCCCGATTCCCCCTTCCCCTCCCTCTCTGCCCCTTCCCCAGATTGTTGTCCATGTCCACTGTTCATGCATACATGCGTATAAGTTCTGTGGTTCATCCCTCCCCCACCTCCCCACTCCTTAGGGGATTGTCAGTCTGTACCCCGCTTCTGCGTCTCTGGGACTACCCCATTCCTCAAACTGTTATGTTCATTATATTCCACAAATAAGTGAGATCATATGAAACTTGTCTTTCTCTGTTTGGCTTGTTTCACTTAGGATGATACTTTCCAGGTCCCTCCATGTAGTCTCAAAGGATAAGAGATCTTTCTTTCTTACCGCTGCGTAGTACTCCATTGTGTATATGTACCACAGCTTTGTTATCCATTCGTCTACTGATGGACACTTGGGCTGTTTCCAGATCTTAGCAATTGTAAATAGTGCTGCTACAAAGATGGGGGTACATATATTCTTTCTGATTGGTGTTTTATGCTTCTTAGGGTATATTCCTAGAAGTGGGATCACTGGGTCAAATGGAAGATCAATTTTTAATTTTCTGAGGTGACACCATATTGTTTTCCATAGTGGCTACACCAGTCTGCATTCCCACCAGCAGTGCACTAGAGTCCCCTTTTCTCCACACCCTCGCCAACACTTGTTGTTTGATGATTTGTTGATGGCGGCCATTCTGACAGGTGTGAGGTGATACCTCATTGTTGTTTTGATTTGCATCTCTCTGATGATTAGTGATGATGAGCATTTCTTCGTATGTTTCTTAGCCGTTTGTATGTCCTGTTTGGAGAGGTGTCTATTTAATTCCTCTGCCCATTTTTTAATTGGATTCTTTGTCTTCCTTTTGTGGAGTTGTATGAGCACTCTCTATATGTATTGGAAATTAACCCCTTATCTGATATATCATTGGCAATTATGCTCTCCCATACAGTGGGTAGCCTTTCCGTTTTGATTGTATCTTTCGCTGTGCAGAAGCTTTTGAGTTTGATGTAGTCCCATGTGTTCATTTTCTCCTTTGTTTCTATTGCCTTAGGTGATGTGTCAGTAAAAATTCTGCTGCGTATGATGTCTGAAATTTTGTTGCCCACAGTCTCTTCTAGGATTTTTATGGATTCATGACTTACATTTAAGTCTTTTATCCATTTTGAGTTTATTCTAGTGTAGGGTGTAAGTTGATGGTCTAGTTTCATTTTTCTGCAAGTAGCTGTCCAATTTTCCCAGCACCATTTATTAAAGAGGCTGTCCTTACTCCACTGTATGCTTTTGCCACCTTTGTCAAATATTAATTGAGCATATTGCCTTGGGTCCATTTCTGGGTTCTCTATTCTGTTCCACTGGTCTATATACCTGTTCTTGTGCCAGTACCAGGCTGTTTTGATTATAGTGGCTTTGTAGTATAACCTGAAATCTGGTATTGTGATCCCTCCAACTTTGTTCTTCCTTTTCAAGATTGCTGTGGCTATTCGAGGCCTTTTTTGGTTCCATATGAACTTTTGAAGTAATTGTTCTAATTCTGTGAAGTATGCCATTGGTATTTTGATGGGGATTGTGTTGAATCTATATATTGCTTTGGGTAATATGGACATTTTAATGATGTTAATTCTTAACCAAAGAAATAAAGGACCTATTCGCAGAAAACTACAGGTCATTGAAAAAAGAAATAGAGCAAGATATAAAAAAGTGGAAGCACATACCCTGTTCATGGATTGGGAGAATTAACATCATTAACCCCATGATGTTTTAAGTAGCCAGCCACCATCAGAAACAGCAAACACAGCCAGGTAAGTTTTTAAACACACAGTTAGCAGAGGGAAGAGGACAATTCAGTGCACAATATTGTGGTCACAAGCAAAAAATGAATGTTCACAATGATGATCTAGAATAACAAAGTTAAAGGCATCAAAGATGATTAAAATAATAGTTACAAATTGCCACGTCCTCTTCCAACCATATTGTCTGACAAAGTCCGGATATGGAGAAGAAAGCTTCAAGGAATGCATCTTCTAGGAAGAGGACGTAGCATGGGGGTGGGATTAATCGGTATTACGGGAATTATAATATTGGGAATTATTATTCTACTATATGACTAACCTGGGAATAATAAATAAGATATCTGAAATCATGCCTCTTCAAATAAATTCTGAAGAAACTCCAGCTTTCCCTGAAACAGTCAACACTGCATGTCCAGACTGTCTTAATAATTTACTAATTCAATTAGGTAAAACATTTCCCCCCAAAAGTCCCTAATAAATAATTCATGGATGAATTGTGACAGATAGAACTAATGGAGGCACCTTATACTCCTGTGCCTCCTCCCCAGATAGAAAGAGTATTTCAAGAGAATAAAAGTAAATTGTATTGACCCCTACCCACTGCTCAAGAGTTTCCTTATATAGCTTATTGGATAAAAGGAAAACTATGGTACCCACCTAAAGGGGCTAGAAGTATACAAAGGATTCCTGACCCTCCCTTGCCCTTTACAGGAGTATATAATGAAGATAGAATAAGAATAGTTAACAAAGACGGACTACATGTTCCTTATGCAAGCTTGCCTTCATGGAACGATTGGTATGCCAAGGTCCCCCTTGGTGTTTACGCACAAAGGAACAAAAGAAGTCTCGATCATTGCAATTGAATATGTTTTATAAGAAATGTTGTCCTGAGTTAGGGAGGTAAATCTAAAAACCCAGAACTAGATTTTATATAAAGGTCAACTATTAATCTCAGACAAAAGGCCTATAGAAAACTCTGCCTCACCTTACAGGTTACTCTACTCCCTTCTTTGTATCTATAAACACAAAAAGTTATAAATTAATGCTGATAAAAATTGAAACTAACATCCTGGTACTATGGAATGTAACTCCCTGCTTCTTTAACCTCAAATGTTAAATTTATGTCAATATAGTATATAAGCATATAGAAACTTGCAATAAATTGGAACAGTGTCACACTTCCTCTGAGTCATGCAGTCATCTGTCTCCCACCACAGACGCCTTACCACCTTCCGGACCCCCTGGATACTGCTGCAGCTGGACTGCAGCAACAAATAAAGCCCCAATACAGCAACTGTATCACCTCCTCTGCAATAATATAACTTTCAAAGAGTATGATTAAGTCTAGGTTCAAATTTTGACATATTAGTGTGTAATTCAATAAAATTGTTTTCAAGAAGTTTATATTAAATATTTGATTCCCCCCCACCCGCCAGAAAAACTCTGTATCCTATATGAATTTGGCATCTGGCAAGTTCCAAGCAGAAAACGAAAGGAAAATGTAAAATGTCCATAGAGTCTGGCCAGTGTGGCCCAGTGGCTGAGCTTCGACCCATGCACCAAGAGGTCACTGGTTTGATTCCCAGTTAGGACACATGCCCAGGCTGTGCGCCAAATCCCCAGTGGAGACATGCAGGAGGCAGCTAATCAATGTTCTCTCTCAGTTCTCTCTCATCGATGGTCCATCCCTCCGTCTCTCAAAAAAAAAATCACTAAAGGAAAAAAACAATTTTTTTAATGCCCATATAAGGCCTAAAAGTGAAAGTTCTCACAAAATATAATGCAAACTTATTTATTTTAAAGTTTCTAAAATTACAAAACACGAGTTTAATATATAAAATCGGGAAAATCACTCGAAACTCCATTACCTCAAGGCAACCACCATGTTCCAGGGCTTTTTGTTTCCTACGGATAGATTCCTGTTTGGTTTTTCACATGGTTTGTGTACCCCACCATTTAGCATTACAGCAGAAGTATCCTCCAAAAAGCAAATAGTTGGTTGGACCCCACATTGACGACAATGGCTTGTGTCTCTACAGCTTTCAGCAAATAACAGTGTGCTTCAGATGTTTTATGTAAGTGTGGCGGCGCGAAGGCCCGAGTTGCCGGGACGCCCGCCTGCCTGGGTGACGCGCGGACAGAGGACAGCAGCTCCGGCCTCCCGAAGGGGCCCTCCTGACCCTTCCCAGCAGAGGAGGAGGGTGCGCGTTTCAGAAGGGCATTTGATGTAACTCTCTCGGAAAATCATAACAGAGTAAAGGCATAATTCGGATGCAATGGACACAAAATAACAAGAGAAGTGCAGGCTGCAACCCCCGCAAGGCCGGCGGCGTCCCATGGGGGGGGACCTTGGGTGTCCGGCTCAGTACTTACCTTCGGAGCGCACGCAGACACCAGCGCGGAGCCAGTCTCGCAACCATCCCAGCCACTGATTCCGGGGCAGTGGGCGGAACTCGGAGGGCGGGGCGGAGCTGGGGGCGGGAGGGAACCAGATAGGTTCCGGCCGGGCCGGGGCAGGGTGGGGAGGGGTAAGGAGTGCCTGGGGAGATGGGGCAGGGCCGAGGGCGGGGAAGAGCCGATTGTGAGGAGGGGGCCGGAGGCTGTAGGGTAGGGCGAGGCCGGGGCGGGGCAGGTGCTAGGGGGCTGGGCTCCTGGAGGAGTGGATGAGCAGAACGCCGTACGTCATTACCTGGTTTTGCTGGTGTGGAAATTGAAGACCAGAAACTTTAATTGGGTGACTTTCCCAAACACCCGAGATTTGCAAATGGTCAAAGTCTTGATTCCACCCAGTGCTCAGAGTCGAAGTCCCAAGTAATTTTATTATCCCGTGCTGATGACCGTTATTATTTGTGCACCAGGCAGATCTGGGTAATAGTATCGGTGGGGGCAACATTGAAGGCCAAGTAGAACAGTTTGGACTTATTCTAAATATTTTTCCAGATATTACAAGGTGATGGTTGGTAGGTTGAGCTGAGTCTCTCAAAGACCCTGACCCCTCTCCCAGGCTCACTTAGGTAACCCTTGGAGGTAATGGAAATACACTAGTCATTTTACTAAAAACCCATTAGATGGCAGTGTTTGAGTGAGGGGAGATGGTTGCGGAGACAGACATTCTGGCAAAGAATTCATTTTGGGTCCACCTTGGTCTATTAAACTGTTACCAGGAGTCCAGGATATGCCATTTACACATGGTTACCATGGTCTTATGGGTGAATAAAGAGACCAGCTCTCAGTAAAAGGGAACCATTGTGAGTGGCTTAGATGATCCAACTGAGCATGAAGATCTCTGTAACCATGCTCAGGATTTTGCATTCTGTGTTGAGAGCAGTGGAGAGCCACTGAAGATGTAAGTGGTGTGTCTGGTTATCCATTTGCTAGTGTAATCATATACTCCTACTATAGCCTCAGAATGAAATGCTTTCTGATAAGAGTAAGAAATGCAGAAGCCCAGTCAAGACCTCATCCAAAAGTCTAATTTCCACCCTCGCCCTGGCCAGTTTGGCTCAGCAGTTAGAGCGTCGGCCTGTGGCCGAGAGAGACCCGGGTTCGGTTCCTGCTGAGGGCATGTACCTCGCTTGCGGTTTGTCCCCCGCCCTGGTTGGGTTGTGTGGATGGCAACCACTCGATGTGTCCCTTTCACATCGATGTTTCTCTCTCTCTCTCTCTCTCTCTCTCTCTCTCTCTCTCTCTCTCTCTCTCTCTCCCTCTCTCCCCCCCTCCCTCCCACCCTCCCTCCTACTCTATCTGAACAAAAAATGGAAAAATGTCCTCGGGTGAGGATAAAAAAATTTAAAAAAAGACAAAAGTCTAATTTCCACCCTATAATATGATCAGCTCCCCTCGCACTAATGAAGGCCTTGGGAGCGCAATGTCCTATTCAGTTAGATACTGTCTTAGAGTATTGCATGTTGGGAGGGGTCTACCTAGAATGGGAGTTGATGCTGTTGTCTGTACAGAGAGTCCCAGACCCCCTGAGTGGTCACAGGTTCCCAGGAGGAGCTGTCCTTGCTGTAATGACTCTTTGGGGCCAAGGTGTCCACTTCACAGTGTTGTGCTTAGTGGTGGGCCTAAATGTTTATTTTTTAAGATCACAGAATAGAATTTACCATTTGTGACACTCCTATTGGTCATAATAATTATTTTTATTTCTGATATTTAAATATCATCAGATACTGTTAATACAACATATAAAAAGTCTGTCATATTCAATCATGAGTAACTATTTTGGCACCATTGTTCAATTAACAGTGCAGGTTAGGAACCTGGAAGCATCCTGGAGTCCTGTCTCACTGATACCTCACTTCTATCAGTTTCCAGGTCCTAGTGATTCTGTCTCCTAAATATTTCTTCATTTTTCTCTCTTTTCCTTTTACCACTGTCCTAATTCAGGCTCTCATTGTGTTTGGATTACTATTACTTGAATTATCGTTACTTAAGTTGCAAAACATCTACTTATCAGTTTTTCTGACTTCAGCTCCACATCTGCAGTCCATTCTCCCCCTGCTTTCTGACTGATCTTCCTAAATTGTAAACCTCACACTACACTCATAATTCTTCCCTCATGATTGAAAATCTTGTAGTGGGCCCTTTGCCTTCTGAACAAATGCAAACTTCTTAGCCTGACCAATAAAGCCCTTAATATTTGGCCCCTGCCTACCTGCCCGGTTCATCTCTCACCAAGGTTCACACTTGAACCTTCCACTTCAGATAAACTTGAGATGCTCCGGTTCTCTAAATCTTTGTATTTCCATGTTCTCTCATTTCAGGCACTACCTTATCCAGGAAGCCTCCTCCTCTGACCTTCCACTGGGTATGTTCTATCCTTCTGAGCTCCTGTAATCTCCCCAGGCTTCTCTTTTCTTTTTCCTCACCCGAGGACATTTTTTCATTTTTGTTCAGATAAAGTGGGAGGAGAGAGGAAGAAAGAGAGAAACATCGATGTGAAAGGGACACATTAAGTGGCTGCCTCCTGTACAACCCAACCAGGGCCAACAAACTGTAATTGAGGTACGTGCCCTTAGCGGGAACCGAACCTGGGTCTCTCTCGACCGCGAGCCAATGCTCTAACCACTGAGCAAAACTGGCTAGGGCAAGTCTTCTCTTTTTCATAGTACCTGTGTCACTATGGATACAGCTGGTTAATAATATGTCTCATTAGTCACCCAAGGGCACACCCTTGGAGGAATTCTACCCTTACAGTAAACTCCATTTTTCATATCCTGACACACCGCTTGATATAAAATATTCTGTGAATGTGTGTGAAATGGTGAATGAGCTGTTGAAAGTTTCTATCTAGACCATGTTTTTTCACATTTGATGATACGTTGTGAGTAAATTGCCACCTTTTTATTAAGTTGTCAGAAGGAATATATCAGTATTTTTTAAATATTTTTCCTTTATTGATTTTAGAGAGAGAGGAAGTAAGAGGGAGAGAAAGAGAGACAGAAACATCGATGTGAGAGAGAAACATCGACAGGCTGCCTCCTTCATGCCCCCTAATGGAGATTAAGCCTGCCCCAGGGATGTGCCCCAACTGGGAATCGAACTGGGACCTCTCAGTCCATGGAACTACGCTCAATCCACTGAGCCATACCAGCTGGGCATAAATCAGTATTTTTGTGCTGTGAAATATTTCTTTTCCAATGAGGATAGCTCTAAGAGAAGGAACTGGACCATCGTCAGGTTCCTGCACACAAACTAGAAAAAGTGGTACTAAGGTAACTTATGATATTAATTAACTGTATAAATTTCTGAAAGAAAATATGTGATGTGTTCTTCTATTAGTCATGAAAAGTATTAGTCTGTGTCTTGTGTTCTGTATCATAACAGCTTCTGGCTTTAGTTCTATGACACTGCTGGAGATCAATTAAACCTGTGCTACTATTATGTTTTCTTTACCAAATTGTTCCCCCCTCCCATTAGGCTTTGCATCATCTTCTTATATAGTCGTATATGTGCATGTCAGAGAAATTTAAAATAATATTTGGAATATTATGTGCTTTTGAGTGTTCTTTCTTATTCTTACTTGTTATAATTTGGAGAAGAAAGACATTTCAGAAGTAAACATTTGACTCACGGTATCACCTCAGCTTTAGTTTCCTATACCTGCATGATTTGTTCATTCACCCAACGCTATTTTACCCACATTTGTGTGTGTGTGTGTGTGTGTGTGTGTGTTGTACAAACCCTAAGCCCACCTTGTTCTCAAGGATTATTTTTCAACTATTCTTCTCTAGCAAAGAAATCTCTCTCAGGCATCCCCCTCTGAGAATGATTAAAATGGATAGATATTATTGTGTAAGAAATGACTGTTTTTTCCCAAAGTCATTCCACTTTTACTTGTTACCAGAGCTTAATTTACAACCTGTCCAAGTGCTTAGAAAAGAACAAGAACAATGGCTACAGCAAATATTAACCAAGGTGAGCCACAAAAAATAATAAGCTATGAGTTTATTATATAAACTCAATGTTATATAACACACATTGATTCCAGGCTTAGAAAGAACAGAATGGCATCCACAGGTGTTGGAGCAGATGGCACCCTTGGTGACCAGCAAGGGTGACCTGGCCTCTCCGTTCTGTATACGAAAGAAGTAAATTAAAAGTTCTAGCCTTAAATCACCAAGTTAAGACTTTAAAGAGGCATAGATAATACTCATTATTCTCAGATTCTGTATGTGAGCATTCACCTACTTGCTGAAGTATATTTGTAACCTCAAAAATGATGCTTCTAGGCCTTCAGCAGTTATTCACAGAAGTGCACAGGGAATGGAAAAATTTGAGTCTCTGCCCCAGCCAGGTTTTCTCAGTGGTTAGAGCATTGGCCTGTGAACCAAAGGGTCGTGGGTTCCATTGCCAGTGAGGGGCATGTACCTGGGTCACAGGTTTGATTCCTGGTCAAGGGCAGGTTTGATCCTCAGCCCTAGTGGGGGTGGTGCAGGAGGCAACCAATCGATATGTCTCTCTCACATGGATGTTTCTCTCTTTCTCTCTCTCTCCCTCCCTTCCACTCTATCTAAAAATCAATGGAAAAATATCCTTGGGTGAGGATTAACAAAAAAAGAAAAATTTGAGTCTCTCTCTACATACATGTTCCCAGCCAAGGTCAACAAGGTGATGCTTTGCTTTCTTGTTCTCGCTCATACTGTAAACAAGTGTACTTTTCATGATCTATTTAGTGTTAGGTTTTCTATATTTTTGTGTTTTTGGTGATATCACTGCCTCCAAGCATAGTGCTGAAGTGCTGCCTAGCACACCTAAGTGCAAGAAGGCTGTGACATGCCTTATGGAGAAAATACATGTGCTTGACAAGCATCTTTCAGGCCAGAGTTGTAATGCTGTTGGTTGTGAATTCAATCTTATTGAATGATGACAAAAAACTGCATATGTAAATATCTGAAAAAGAATGTTCCAAGAAGAGA